CTACAAAAAAATCACTGGGATTTTGATAGGGATTGTGTTAACTAGATAAACACAGTTGTTGGTGTTATTGGTGGTATTGTTGTCTTGCAATATTAAATGTTCTAATCCATGAATGTGGGATGTCTTTCTTTTTATTCATGCCTTCTTTAATTTCACTCAAAAATGTTTTAGTCTTTTACATCCCAGGTCGATTACTAAGATTTTGTTGTTTCTGATACATTCTGAAAATGGAATTGTTTTCTTCTCTGACTGCTCCTTGTTAGTATACAGAAATGCAGCTGAGTTGTGTGTGCTGACTGGGTATCCTGCTACTTGGCTAAATTTGATTATTAGTTGTAATAGTTAGGGACTTCCACATGCAAGATCCCATCGGCAGCAGAGACGGTTTTCTGTCTGCTCTGCAGTTTGAATGCTGTCTGCTCTGTTCTTGCTGAGCCGCACTGGCCTTCCGGGGCTGTGTTGATACCGTCAGTGAAAGTAGGCACCCTCACCTGAGGAAAGTCCTCCACCGTGGGGTGTGGGGTCCACACGGGCTCTTCCTGCAGTGTGGTTTGTGTTACACTGAGGTGGTTTTCTTCTGTCATATTTCTCTTGACTGTTTTTATCATGAGAGGGTGTTGAGTCTGTTAGATGCTCTTCTGCTTCAGTTGAGATGATCATGTGAGTTTTTTCTCATTCGTCTTGGTGATGTGATGCATTGCACTGATCAGTTTCCATAGGTTCAGAGCTGTTGCAGTGGAAGAGGAGGTGCGTGGTGAGGGCAAGAGGCTCGGAGTCACCACACAGACCCCGGAAGTCGAGTGAAAGCAGGCCTGAGGCAAGCAGCCTGCAGACTCGTTTATTTCAATTAGTACAGCTGCTTATATAGCCAAGGCAGCCAATCCAGTCAAGGGGCGGTCTATGCCCTAACCAATCACAGCCTGTTGCCAGGCAGTTTCCAAAACCATCCAATCACAGCCTGTTGCCAGTCAGTCTCTGTTGCCAGGCAGTTTCTGAAACCATCTAATCACAGCCTGTTGTCAGGCAGGCTCTGTTGTCATGTGGTTTCTGAAGCCATCCAATCATGGCCTGTTGCCAGGCAGTTTCTGTTGTCAGCGGCCATCTTGGCATGACCTTCTCACCTTCTCATTCCACCACACAGAGCCATCCTTGCATTCCAGGAATAAAGCTCACTGGGTTGTGGCACATAACCCTTTTATAGTGCGTTGGGTTCTGTTTGCCAGAATGTTCATGAGGGATGTTGGTCACAGTGTACCTCCCTCATCCTGACTTTGTCTTTGTTCATGATGCTGGCTTTGCAGAATGAGCCAGCGCCTCCTCAGCCTTGATTCTGTGGCACATTTGCCAGGGACTGGTGCTAACCCGTTAAACGTGTGGGGACTTCACTGGTAAAGCCGGCAGCCCAGGGATTTTCTTTGGAGATTTTTATCAGACTAACGCCGCTTACTAATCACAGGCTGCTCAAATTTTCTACTTCCTCGAGGCATAGTCTTGGTGGATTTTGTATTTTGTGTTTCTAGGAATGTGTGCACTTCATCCAGATGGTCCGGTCTGGTGGCACACAGTCGCTCACGGCACTGTCTTGTAGCAACATCCCACTGTCGTTTGTGATTTCAGTCATTTGCCTCTGTTTTCCTGCTTAGTCTGCTTTGCTGAAGGTCTGTCCATGCTTTGATCTTCAAAAGAACTGACTTGGTTTACCTGGTTTCCTCTGTTCTTCTTCTTTTCTGTTTCATCTCTAATCATTATCATTCTCCTCTTGGCCAGCCCTGGGTCAAGTTCATTCTTGTCGTCCCAGTTCCTTAAGCTGTACAGTTAGGTTGTTGGTTTCAGACCGTTGATGTTTCCTTGAGGTGAACGTTATGGCTGTGAATGTCCCCTCGTCCCTGCGTCCCCTCTTTCACTGCATCCCGTAGTTGTGATAATTTGTGGTTTTATTTCATCCATCGCTAGGTATGTCCCAATTCCCTTTTTGTGATTTTCTGTTCTGTACTGGTTGCTTGAAGTGTTTGTCCAGAGACAGGCAGGGGGTCTGATTACAGCTTCTGGTCATGCCAACCATGGGAGGCAGCAGATGGTGTCACCCACGTGGGAGACCCAGATGGCTTTCCCGGCCCCAGCCCTGGCCAGCCCAGCTGCTGCTGGCTGTGAGTAATTGAATCGGCCAATGAGAGCTCGCTCCCTCTCTAGCTGTCCCCATCTCTGACTCTGTGTCTCTGCCTCTCAAATAAGAGGAAAAAAAAAAAGAATGTGTTGTTTACTTGCCACACATTTCTGACTTTTCTGGTTTCTGTGGTTGATTTCTAGCTTCAGTTCCCCGTGGTCTGAGGAGACACTTGGTCAGGTGCCAGTTAAATCTGGTAAGTGGCACCTCCCCTTGCCGCAGGTCCCTCCCTCTCTGTGGCGGTGACTTCTGAGGGTCTTAGAGGGCTGGTGTCCTTCTACCCCGTGTTTCTCCTCTGGAATCCAGACGTCAGAGAACAGCACCCTCTGGGGGAAGTCGGGGCGAGCAGCAGGGCCAGAGAAGACCTGCGAGGACCCTCAGTGGACCCTGCAGGCTGGCTCTGGGCACAGGTGCCGCCTGTAGCCACCAGAGAGACCAGGGCAGACAGCAAACCCTGGGAGGGGCAGGGCCTCACCTCAGAGTTCCCACATTACTGAATTCAGAGTCCAGTTTTCAACAACGCAAAAAAACCACCAGCTGTAGAAGAAACGAGGAGATAACTGATAGAAACTAGCTCTGAGAAGGGCTTTAGGAAAACTGCCTTAAGGGTTTGGAGATCAGAAAAGAAGGGTGTGGGAAAGTCCAGGAGAGAACCACATGGCGAGGAGAACGAGGTGTGGAGGGCAGGGGGAGAGGAGGTGGGGGGAGAGAATGATGTGGGAGAGAGGAGGAGAGAACCACATGGTGGGGAGAATGAGGTGCGGAGGGCGGGGGAGGGGAGGTGGGGGGAGAGAATGATGTGGGGGAGGGGAGAACCACATGGGGGGGGAGAACGAGGTGCGGAGGGCGGGGAGGGGAGGTGGGGGAGAGAATGATGTGGGGGAGGTGAGGAGAGAACCACATGGGGGGGAGAACGAGGTGCAGAGGGCGGGGGAGGGGAGGTGGGGGGAGAGAATGAAGTGGGGAAGGGGGTGGAGAACGAGGTGTGGAGGGCGGGGGGAGGGGAGGTGGGGGGAGAGAATGGTGTGGGGGAGGGGAGAACCACATGAAGGAAGTGGGGGAGAGAACAATGTGGGGGTGGGGGAAGAGGACGAGGTGGGGGAGGGGAGGAGAGAACCACATGGGGGAGGTGGGGGAGAGAACAGTGGTGTGGATGATGTGCAGTGGGGAGTGGAGAGACGCTGTGTGAAGAAACCAGACCGTTAGTGAAGACCCGGGAAGTGAACGAGAAACCACCATGAGGTTCTGGAGCTGAGAGTGGTGACGAGGAGAAGCCGCTGGAGGGCCTGGGGGCCCACGTGAGCGGCACAGGTCTTGCCCCCCATGCTGCAGCACCCGGGACCCCCCCCAAGTGCACTCACAGACTCACTGGGTTGGTCTCTTTTGCCACACTTAGCACAGTGACTCACAGCAGTCTCCGTGATGTTGCTGGCATTGACGCTGTCTTCCTCGACTCTGCTTTTCTCTTTTCTGTATTTTACCGTAAGTGTATTTTACCGTAATTTCTCTTCTGTATTGTACCATAATTGGCAGGTTTCTTTGCTTATTTTATTTGCTCCGTTGTCCTGCAGAATTTTTTAGGGGTTGCGCAAGTGTCCACATGCCATCCTGCATGTCCCTCTGTGGGGGACCAGCCAGCAGTGGGTCAGAGGGCGTGGAGACCCCCGGGAGGCAGGACTGCTGGGCGCTCCTGGAACGCGGCCAGTCTTTGTGGTTGCTGTTGTGTTTCCCGCGGTGCAGCTGTTTCTAGAAGTTTCCATTACATTCAAGTGTCACGTGGTCCACCAGCACACTTTATACGGGCCTCTGTTAGTTTTCACTGGTTTCTTTGAGAAGCAGATGGACAGAGAGGCCGGGCTAGAAAGAGCTCTCATCTGCTTGTTCACTCCCCAAATGCTTGCAACAGTGAGGGCAGGGCCAGGATGAAGCCAGGAGCCGGGAACTCCCTCCAGGTGTCCGTGGGTGGCCGGGACCCAAGACCTGTGCTGTCCCCACCGCCCCCAGGGCCTCCGCTGGCAGAGCTGCAGTCAGGAGCCGGAGCTGGGAGGTAAACCCAGGCGCTCCCATGCAGGCGTGGGGTCGGAACTCCTGGCCAGAGGGCGCCGGCCTCCTCCAGTCAACCCGTCTGCCTGGTGGTTGGAGGCTCCTCTGTCCCCAGGGTGTGTTCCCACCTCCGGGGTAATCGCTCAGACCTGCTGTCGGACTCAGTGCTTCCCTTGTCTCTGGTCCAAGCCTCTTGTTCGCTGGCTCCCCTGTTTTTTCTGAGACGCTTCTGGAGCCTGGGATCTGAAACTGCCTTCTCTGACCTCAGGGGTCGGGGCAGAGTGAGGACCCCCAGGCCACGGGTGCCCCTGCCCCGCCCAGCGCACCAGCCACGTTTCTGCCACCTTCGCTCCTCTCCTCCCGCAGTGGGGAGAGGACGGCCTCCCTTTGCCCTCCTGGGGTAGGGATGACTCCAGCTAGCACTGATCACGGCACCCCACCCCACCCCAAGCCCACACGCAGGGCCTGTGCGAGGGGAAGGAACCAGACCAGAGGGACAGGGACTGGCCAAGGTCACGTGCAGTTCCCGGGAGCCCCTGCCTGAGGCTGGCACCGACCCGGTGGGGGGGTGGTACACTGCTCCCTGGCGTGTCCATCCCAAGGAGGAGGGATGGGAGGACCTCGGATGTCCAAAACTTGGCCCAGAGAGCTCACCTTGGGGCTGGGGGAGAGGTGTGTGGCCTCCCAGCCCGGTGCAGGCTCCAGGAGCAGGTGAGGCTGGGCAGTGCCCCGAGTCCTGCAGATGTCCTGGGCACCCTTGCAGTGTCTGAAGCAGCCCCTCCTCCTCTTGCAGGTCAGCGCCCAAGATGCTGGCCATGCGGCAGGGCCCCCTCCTGGCCCTCCTGCTCTGGGGCCTCCTGGGGACCCTCCGTGCCCAGCAGCAGGAGGTCATCTCGCCCGACGTCTCCACCTCTGACAGAAACAGCAACTGCCCAGGTACCAGAGGTGGGGACAGTGGGGCCCTGGACACAGGTGACTGTGACCCCCCCACAGCCCCCCATGGGACACAGGTGACTGTGACCCCCCCACAGCCCCCTGAAGGACACAGGCGACTGTGACTCCCAGACAGCCCCCCACGGGACACACACAACTGTGACCCCCACACACAGCCCCCCACGGGACACAAGCGACCGCGGCCCCTCCCACACGGCCTGGGATAGATCCTGGACACAGGGGACCGTGGCCCTCCCACGTAGCCGGGCAGGCCCGTGACAGGCCCCCTGTCCCCACAGAGAAGGCCGACTGCCCCATCAATGTGTACTTCGTGCTGGACACCTCGGAGAGCGTGACCATGCAGTCCCCCACGGACAGCCTGCTCTACCACATGCAGCAGTTCGTGCCGCAGTTCATCAGCCAGCTGCAGAACGAGTTCTACCTGGACCAGGTGGCGCTGAGCTGGCGCTACGGCGGCCTGCACTTCTCGGACCAGGTGGAGGTGTTCAGCCCGCCGGGCAGCGACCGGGCCTCCTTCACCAAGAGCCTGCAGGGCATCCGCTCCTTCCGCAGGGGCACCTTCACCGACTGCGCGCTGGCCAACATGACGCGGGAGGTGCGGCAGCACGTGGGCCGCGGCGTGGTCAACTTCGCCGTGGTCATCACCGACGGCCACGTCACCGGCAGCCCGTGCGGGGGCATCAAGCTGCAGGCTGAGCGTGCCCGCGAGGAGGGCATCCGGCTGTTCGCAGTGGCCCCCAACCGGAACCTGAACGAGCAAGGCCTGCGTGACATCGCCAGCACGCCGCACGAGCTGTACCGCAACAACTACGCCACCATGCGGCCCGAGTCCACCGAGATCGACCAGGACACCATCAACCGCATCATCAAGGTCATGGTGAGCGCCACCCCGCCCAGACGCCACGCGTGCCTGGCCGGCGGTGGGGCTCGTGGTGACCGGTCTCTCTCTCTCTCTCTCTCTCTCTCTTTTCCGCAGAAACATGAGGCCTATGGAGAGGTGAGTGGCCTCCCGTCCTGCCAGCCCGGCCACCCGCCCCCTGCCCAAGGCTGCTGACCCCGGAGCAGACGACAGGAGGACGGAGCGGCCCCTCTGACACTTGAGCTTGGACAGAGGATTCCCGGCCAAAGCCAGGCCGCTTAGCTGCCCAGGCCCACACGCGCAGGGGCAGGGCCTGGAGAAGGCGTGGGTGACGCAGCCTCCTGCAGCCTGGGGCCCTGTGACGTCCCCGGGCTGTGTGTCCCGGCCCAGCTCGGAGCTCTGTCCTCCCTCCGCACAGCTGCTCACAGCTCCCCTCCCTTAATCCTCACGGTCCATCGTTGCCTAACCCAGCTCGGTTTCCAAACCCTGTCTGGAAGGTTGACTGAAAACCAAGCTGTCCCCCCGGGCGTGGGTGTGGGGCCTCGGGCCCCACTTGTCTGCCCCTCCAGCCCAGCTCTGTGGGACACACCCGGCACCTCCAGGGCCCTGGCCTTCCCCCAGGCGTCCGGGCCGTGTGTGTCCTGCCACCCGGCCTTGTCCGCGTTCTCTCGTTTCAGTGCTACAAGGTGAGCTGCCTGGAGATCCCGGGGCCACCCGGCCCCAAGGGCTACCGCGGACAGAAGGTGAGACGCCCGACCCCCAGGTGAGGCCAGCGAGCTGAAGGTCTTCTCCACTGCCTTCCAAAGTGGCACTTTGAGAAAAGTTGGAGCTTTTTGAAAAACAGCCCGTTGCCCCGTGAACACAGCGGCCAGGCAGTGTGGCCGCTGTCCCCGCTGCATGAACACAGTGGCTGGCAGTGTGGCCGCTGTCCCATGGAGCACCCCTCCCAGCCTGGCCTGGGGGTGGGTTTCCTCACAACAGAGGCGTAGAGAACAAAATGGCTGCCACAGCGGCTCCTGTCAGTCACAGTTTGTAAAGAACGGCAGAGCAGGACGTGAGGCCGGAACGTCACTCATGTCATGGGGAAGTGATGGACAGTAGCCTTTGTCCTCTCTCTGAACCCGGTGGGCACTGCGGGGCCACCAGGTGTCTGGAGCACTGTCTCAGGAGGCGGCGTCACCTCCTGACTTAGTTTCTCCCTGTCCTGGTGGCAGTGCCTACGCACCAGAGGGCAATGAATTTGCCACTCAGGGCAGCCTTGGCCCCCCAAGGCTGTCCTTGTGGGTGAGAGCTGCTGAGAGGGGCAGGGTCTGCAGTGGACACTGAGGGGCCAGGAGGGCCCCAGGACAGGGCACAGCTGGGACGTCCTGGCAGCCTCTCCGCCCTCTTCCTCCTGGATCCCTTGACGCCCCTTGCCCCTGCCCTCTTGGCCCTCCAGCTGGGAGCACGTTGATAAGCAGTGTGTTTTCAGTGAGTCTCTGCTGTGTGCAGGTTCTAGTTCCAGGAGGCATAACCCACGGCCCTGCAAGGATTTCTGAGCCCTGGTCCGCCTGCAGGCACAGCCCTCCCCCAGGGACCTCTGCCCGGTGCAGAGGGACCCCATGCTGTTCTGGCTGGGTCTGCAGGCCCCTTGTGGGGAGGCACCCCGCAGGGCTCCAAGAGGCACTGGTCCTCTGCAGGGGGCAGGGGACCGTCCAAGCGTCCCAGGCTGCCCGCTGCCACCCCGCCTTCATTCACCCTTTCCCTCCCGTCTGCTTTTAGGGTGCCAAGGGCAACATGGGTGAGCCAGGAGAGCCAGGACAGAAAGGGCGACAGGTGAGTGTCCTTGCCCCGGCCCCACCGCCTGCTCCGCCCCAGGCTGCCGCTCCATGGTGGCCCTGGGGTGACATCACTATTCTCTGCCCTGCTTCAGGGAGACCCAGGCATCGAAGGCCCCATCGGCTTCCCAGGACCCAAGGTAAGTGGCTGTGGCCCTGCCCCCCCGCCCCCTCACAGTTCAGCTGTGGTCCCTAAACCAGGCTTCTGCAGGACCCCTCTCCCCAACTCCTGACACAGCTTCCTGCTGCCACCCCCGCCCACCCCGTGCCCACCCCCACTACCAACTCCACCAACCTGGCACCCCCGCCCGCCCTGTACCCACCCCTACCATCAACTCCACCCACCCTGTGCCCCCACCCACCCCAGACCCCGCCCACCCTGTACCCACCCCCACCATCAACTCCACCCACCCTCTGCCCCCACCCACCCCAGACCCCGCCCACCCTGTGCCCTCCCCCACCCCAGACCCCCGCCCACCCTGTACTCACCCCCACCATCAACTCCACCCACCCTGTGCCCCCACCCACCCCAGACCCCCGCCCGCCCTGTACTCACCCCCACCATCAACTCCACCCACCCGGTGCCTCCACTAGCCCCAGCCTCCTCCTGACGCCCCTTTTCTCTCTGCACTCAGGGTGTCCCTGGCTTCAAAGGAGAGAAGGTACGTTGGGGCTCCGAGTGCCGGGGGTGCCAGTCCCTCCTGGGGGCAGGCCTGGCCTCCTGTGGGGTTCTGCTGGCCTGGTGCCTGGCCCAGGGGCTGACTTGGGCCTGGAGACACCGCACTCTGTAACACTGCTTCTGCCTCACAGGGTGAATTTGGAGCTGACGGAAGGAAGGTAAGCGGGGGAGTGGGTAGGCGCCCCCTCTCCACTCGGGGACAACAGAATGGGGCTCACGGCGCTCTCGTCCCTCTCTCCCCAGGGGGCCCCTGGCCTGGCCGGCAAGAACGGGACCGATGGACAGAAGGTAGAGTGAGCCCCGCCCTCCAGAGACTGAGGTAGAGTGAGCCCGCCCTCCTGGGACTGAGGTAGAGCGAGCCCCGCCCCCGCCCTCCTGGGCCCGTCTTCCCAGGACTGCCCCTGCCTGACCGGCCAGCCTGACCAGCCTCGCTGGGCAGGTGGCTGCAGCCGCAGTGCGGGTGCCAGGACGAGAGCCTGGGACCAGCACTGACCCTTCTCCGCCCCTCCCCTTCAGGGCAAGCTTGGACGCATCGGCCCTCCTGGCTGCAAGGGAGACCCCGGGAACCGGGTGAGTGCAGCTGTGCCCCGTCGGCCTCGGCCCCAGGGACGCCAGGCCAGGCTGGGCGGGGTAGGCAAGCGAGCCCCTCGGATTCTCCCAGAGTTCAGCCGGGGCTGGGGCCACGTGTATGGTCGTCCGGCCATGCCAGGCAGCTCCTGATGCCCTGAGACCAGCACCTCTGGAGCTTTGGCACATGGCCTACTCCATTTCTAGGCCTGGCCTTGTCGGCAGGGTTCTCGCAGGGCTGGGGACCTCACAGCAAAGTCCAGGGTGGGACACGTCCAGCCTGGCTACAGCGCCATCCGGCTCAAGAGGGCAGCCCCAGGCAGCAGCCCCAGGACACCTCTCAACCTCATCTTTCTCTCTCAGGGCCCCGACGGTTACCCAGGGGAGGCAGGGAGCCCTGGTGAGCAGGGAGACCAAGGTGCCAAGGTAGGTGACCTCGCCCAGGGGAGGCCACAGCGTCGCCACCCTCCTGGGCCTCCCTGCCCCTGCTTGGGGCCTCAGAGGGATGCAGCCCAGAGTGAGATGCCCAGCAGAGGGCTGGCCCCCAAAACTGTCGGGGGCCACAGGCCACAAGGGACCCAGGGCCATGGGAGCCCTCCTGGGATCTCAACAACTCATGTCCATCTCAGGGACCTGTGCACCCCAGCTGGAGACAGCTGGGCGACAAGCACCTCCTCTGGGTGGAGCCACACCCAGACCTGAGGGGTCCTGGGCGGAGGCCACCAGTGCCTAGGGCCCACCAGCAGGCTCTCCCGGGAAGCCTCACGCTCAGACCCAAGGCACCCACCCCCCTCCAGCTGCATTAAGTCGCCTGTGCTGCCACAGGACAGCTTAGAGTGACCCGGGCCTGGCTTCCTGGCATCCCAGGTGCCCAGGTGCCCTGACCATGGGCGTATGGAGCGGGGAAGCCCCCAAGTCCCCCCCCAGGTCCTGCTTGACTCAGGGTGCTGCAACCTTGCCCCTGCCAAGGGCGGGAGAACAATTTCTCCCTACCCTTCCAGGGGGACGCCGGCCGCCCAGGACGCAGAGGGCCCCCGGGGGACCGCGGGGACAAGGGAAACAAGGTGAGTCGCTGTGTGCCTCCCCAGCCGCTGCCCATGGCCAGGAAGGACACCACACTGGCCGCATGCTCTGCTCTCCCGGGTGGGCAGGGGTGGAAGGAGCCACTGCCGGGCGACGAGAGGGGCACAGACCCCAGTGGGAGGAGCGGGCGTGCACTGACCGGGGACAGGGCCAGCTCCCGGCCACCAGCCCTGAGCCTCGGCTGAGCTGTGTCCTTGCCCACAGGGATACCAAGGCAACAACGGAGCCCCAGGAAGTCCCGGCGTGAAAGGAGCCAAGGGCGGGCCTGGGTCTCGCGGCCCCAAAGGCGAGCCTGTGAGTTCACCCAGCCCCTGCACGCCCCCGATACAGAACTGCACACAGGCGCCCTCGGCCAGCCTCCTGCCCCAGCGCTCTCCCTGCCCTGGCCTCTCTGAGCTCAGGCCCGCCCATTGCAGCTCCAGGGGGCCACTGGGGAGCACACTAGGGGCCGGGGCAACACCCTTGTGGGCAGGGCTCAGCCAGGCCTCTGCTGGCCTTCTCAGTCACCCCAGGGCTGAACACAGGGCAAGCGGGGGTTGCCTCCAAGGGCTAAGCCCCTGCCTGGGAGTGGAGTGGAGCTAGCATGCTGACACCCACCCAGGACGAACAGCTGGGCCAGGACCCTCCCCCGCCATCGCTCCTACACCCTGGACTGGGACCCAGCTGAGCTGCAGCAGGACCGGGGTCCGGGGGCCCTGGCTGCAGCCTCCGGGGGAGCCCGGGGCTCAAGGCCCCCAGACCCAAAGCCAGAAACCCCCTGGTGAGAGGGCATGGAGTCCCTGCAGTGGCCCGCGGGTATCCGCTTCCCCAGCATGTCTGTTCTCTGCAGGGGCGCAGGGGAGACCCCGGAACCAAGGGCAGCCCAGGCAGCGACGGCCCCAAGGGAGAGAAGGTGAGAGCCGGAGTCGTCCTCCAGGAGCGGGGAGGGTGCCGGGGGCATTTGTGTCTGCGCCAGGGTCTCACCTTGGCGTGCACAGGGATCTCCTGCCCACCCCAGAACAAAAGGATTTCCCTCGCCGTGGGGAGCAGCATCCCCACAGGGTCTGGGCAGTTCCCCAACGCCAGCTTCCTGCTGAGGGTCCTGGTCGGGCACTGCTGTCCTGTGCGTGTGTGGGCTGTGCACTGCTCAGCCCTGCAGTGCCCCGCAGGCACTGGAGCTGCGCCAGCTCTCAGGGCCGCCACTTCCCTGCAGATGGGGGCGAAGCAGCTTCCTCCCTGGGGGGCCAGGATCCCTGCCCACACCGGCGGACTGTGGAGGCCGGGCTGTAGGACACGTGGCCCTCCACGCTGAGGGCCTGCACAAGGAGTGAAGGGACCGTCACACCCAACCCTGCCTCTCTCCTCACAGGGTGACCCTGGCCCGGAGGGCCCCCGGGGCCTGGCTGGAGAGGTCGGCAGCAAAGGAGCCAAGGTATGGGGTGGGTGGCAGGGGCCAGCTGTGCCTCAGGAGGGGCACTAAGTCCTCAGCTGCAAGGGGCTGCACCTGCCCCTGCCCCTCCCCCACCGCGCTCAGCAGCGTCTGCTCTGGCCAGGCCCCCTCAGTTACGGCTGAGGGCCAGGCCGGGCTGCAGCAGCAGAAGCCGGTGGGGCTGTGCTCTGCACCCAGACCCAACCTCCTCCCCTCCATTTCCAGGGAGATCGTGGCTTACCTGGGCCCAGAGGCCCCCAGGGGGCTCTTGGGGAGCCTGGGAACCAGGTCAGTACAGCATGCCCGGAGCTCTGTGGCCAGGAGCCAGCCCCATCTGCCCTCTGACCCTGCCCTGCTGGGTACTGGGGTCCTCCTGCCTGCCCCGGTGCCTCACCGTGTACCTACCCCCACCCCAGCCTCTGCAACCTTGCACTGCCCTGGAGCGACCTCCTAGGGCCCCCACCCTGCCCAGGGGAGGGCGCTGGGGGCTGGACCTGGGCCTAGGTGGATCAGGAAGAGGACGCTGAGCCCATGGCCTCCAGGGCGGCACGAGGGGCTGGGGTACTGGGGGTGTGTCGTTGACCCCGGGACACGGGTCCAGCCCAGCTGTGCAATCCACGGTCTCTCTTGCTCTCAGGGATCTCGGGGAGACCCTGGTGATGCGGGCCCCCGCGGTGACTCGGGACAGCCAGGCCCCAAGGTAAGCCCCTCCTGTCGCAGGGTGAGGTGGGTGCAGGCGGCCGCCTGGGGAGCCACCGAGGCAGCGTCTGAGCCTCCTGCTGGGGGCTGCAGAGCGCGGCTGGCCCGGCACAGGGCTCTCGGGACGCAGGCAGCCCTCCGCCCACCCCGAGTCAGGCCTGCACGGCCTTCCCGCGGTCTGTGTTGTCCCGTGTGGGTGGCCGCTCCTCGGCCTCACTGCGCACTGTGCCCCTGGCCCACAGTGGACTCAGCAAGGCGGGCCCTACTCCCAGCCGTGCCCAGCGCCCCTCGTCCACTCCCACGGTGGCGCTCTCCTTGGCCTGGGCACCGTCCCCAAGCCTCAGCCCGTGCCCCATTCGTGCTCACTGACTCAGCCTCCTCTTTCCAGGGAGACCCTGGCAGGCCCGGATTCAGCTACCCAGGACCCCGAGGGGCACCCGTGAGTCATGGAGGGATGGGGGCTACTGAGGGGGGGAGGACCGGATGCTGGGGGGACCCGAAGATTCGCGGGAGTTTCCTGGAGACCTCTGCATCCTCAGGGAACCGACTACGGCTTAGCTTGTGCAAACGGCGTGGCGCTAGCCCGATCAGCGTGCGCTCTGATAGCGGGAGCCCCGTAGGGCGGGAGGCGGGGGGCCGCCCCCCTGAATCCTGCAGCAGGAGGCAGCCTCCCTCCCGCCCTGGGCTCGAATGCAGGCTTAGGCTTCTGTGGCCAGGGGACCCTGACTTTTGTTTGCTTCCCAGGGAGACAAAGGCGAGCCTGGCCCACGGGGCCCTGAGGTACGTGGGGCCCTGCCCGTCTGGGCCTCTGCTGACCCCTTGGGGGAGGAGTCTGCACACGGGGTGGGGGGAGATTCACAGCCAGAGCCCCGCCCTCGGGCCAGGCCATGTGACTGGCAACCCCGAGTCGCCAGATGTGCGTGTCTGTGTCCCTGGTTGACCTCTGAGTGGTGGGGGGGAGGGCTGCACGCGTGCAGAGACCCCACCTCTGGGCAGAGCTCACGCATGTGTCCCTGTCTCAGGGAGGCCGAGGCGACTTTGGCATGAAAGGAGGACCTGGGAGGAAAGGAGAGAAGGGAGAGCCGGTAAGTGCCTTCCCCCTGTAGTAGGCACTGGTCGGAACACAGGGCAGGGCCTCCCGGAGCACCCGGGCCTGAGCTCAGTGGCCGCCCTTCCCCGCCCCAGCACCCCCATCCCCACCCCCCCATCACCCAGGATCCTGGCAGGTGATCAGGGCCCAGTCACGGGTCCTCTTGCACCCTAATGCACCTGGCTGGACCAGATGTCCAGCAAGGGCTACGGGGGGATAAATAGTGATGAGCAGGTAGATGGCTGTTGGGTGAACAGGCAGGGGGGTGGGGGTGGGCAAGGAAGTGGCAGGATGGACAGGTGAGTGGGTGCTGACATTGATGGGTGGGTGGACAGGTGGGTGGATTATGGGTGGATGGATGAGTAGATAAATGGGTGGGCTGATGAGTTGGATGGATTGGTGGATGGGTAGGTGTGTGGGTGGGTGTGTGGATGGATTGATGGGTGGGTGGGTGTGTGGATGAGTAATGAGTTCATGGATTGATGGGTGGGTGGGTGTGTGGATGAGTAATGGGTGCATGGATTGGTGGGTGGGTTGAGGGACGGTGGAGGTTGGGCTGGCGGTGAATAGAGGGCCATGGGGTGAGGACAACCGTGGGGCAGCGTGTGCGGTTTCAGCCCCCATCTTTCTGAGTTGCTCTGTGGCAGGCATGGTTCCGACAGTGGCTGCCTGTGCTGCTCACAGCCTGGACATCCTGCCACAGTGCCAGACTCAGGACAGGGTGCACAGTGCAGCCGCGCCTCAATCCTGACACCCGCCAGGCCCCTCAGGCAGGACCGGGGGGTGTGGGACACAGGGACCAGCCCAGGGGGTTGCTGAAGACCACGTGCCCTGTCTTTCTCAGGCTGACCCTGGTCCCCCAGGTGAACCAGGTGCTCGGGGGCCAAGAGGAGTCCCAGGACCTGAGGTAGGCCACTGTGGCTCCCTGCCGCCAGCCAGGCGAATGCACCGGGCCTTGCGGTGCGGCTCCTGAGGGCTCCCGGTGTGCAGCGGGCGGTGGCACGGGGTACAGGTCACTCTGCCAGCTCACACTGCGTCCTGTCGTCTCTTCCCCTCCAGGGCGAGCCCGGCCCCCCAGGAGACCCTGGCCTCACGGTAGGTAGCACAGGGGATGGAAGCCCCTCCTCCTAGAAATCAGAAATCACGGGCAGCAGGTGCAGGGGGGGATCAGAGGGCACCCGGCCACCGCCCTGCCCCGGCGCTGCTCCACACCCTGACGTGGTGGCGGACAACGTCCTGGGGCCCTGGCCGGGAGAAAGCCACCGATGCCTGTGTTGCAGGAATGTGACGTGATGACCTACGTGAGGGAGACCTGTGGCTGCTGCGGTAAGTCCCTGCCCCGGGCGGGCTCAGGCTGGGGTGTGGCTGGGGCGGGGTTGTCCCAGAGTCCCCGCAGCTGCCCCCGCCCCTGTTGCCCACAGACTGCGAGAAGCGCTGTGGCGCCCTGGACGTGGTCTTCGTCATCGACAGCTCCGAGAGCATCGGCTACACCAACTTCACGCTGGAGAAGAACTTTGTCATCAACGTAGTCAACAGGCTGGGGGCCATCGCCAAGGACCCCAAGTCAGAGACAGGTCAGGGGCAGGAGCCTTGCAGGACGGGCAGACGGGGGTGATGGGAGCCCAGGCTTGGCCGGCACCGAGGTGTCCCAGCCCAGGCGTGGAAGCGGGCGAGCCGGACCCTCAGCCTGGGCGTGGGAAGTAGGCAAGCTGGACCCTCAGCCTGGGCGTGCTGTCGCAGGGACGCGCGTGGGCGTGGTGCAGTACAGCCACGAGGGCACCTTCGAGGCCATCCAGCTGGACGACCCCCGCATCGACTCCCTGTCCAGCTTCAAGGAGGCCGTCAAGAACCTCGAGTGGATCGCGGGCGGCACCTGGACGCCCTCCGCCCTCAAGTTCGCCTACAACCAGCTCATCAAGGAGAGCCGGCGCCAGAAGACCCGCGTGTTCGCAGTGGTCATCACGGACGGCCGCCACGACCCCCGTGACGACGACCTCAACCTGCGGGCGCTGTGCGACCGTGATGTCACGGTGACGGCCATCGGCATCGGGGACATGTTCCACGAGAAGCACGAGAGCGAGAACCTCTACTCCATCGCGTGCGACAAGCCGCAGCAGGTGCGCAACATGACGCTCTTCTCTGACCTGGTGGCCGAGAAGTTCATTGACGACATGGAGGACGTCCTCTGCCCCGGTGAGTGGCTCGGGGTCAGGGCGGCTGGCCCTCCCGCCTCGCCCGAGGGGACGCACCCGGCACCCCGGGCGGGAGGGCCGGCCCTTGCAGGGCAGAGTTCAGCCGCACCTGAGCCCGTCCCTGCATGGGTCGCCCAGGGGGCCACTGAGGGATTGACCGTGGCCCTGGCCTCTTCCTCTCTTCCAGACCCCCAGATCGTGTGTCCAGAGCTTCCCTGCCAAACAGGTACTGTGGGTGCCCCTGACCCCCACCCCCCATCTCACAGTAGCAGAGCTGCCCCCACGCCCCTGGGGGACAGGGGCTGTGCAGGGCCCCAGGTCAGGCTCTCTCAGTCCTTCTCAGGGTCACCCGGGACCCTGCACAGCCGAGGAGGGACTCAGGGAGGGGCAGCTCCCTCTTCCCCCTCCTGGCACCGTCAGTCCAGTCGGAGCGGACCCTGCCAGCCTGGTGCTGTGCTTGCCTCGCAGCCGCTAGTCTCAAGGCGACCGCCGGGGGAGGGGCTGGGGCCTCAAAGACCCAGGGCTGTCCAGCCCCCCTGTCTGGGCCATGCGCCAGGTCGCTTGGGAGCAAGCCCTGGACTCGGCAAACAGAAGTGGTTGATTCTAAACCGTCCAGGAGCCCAAGGAGCTGATACCCACAGCGGCCAACCCGCTTGCTTCTAACCCCGCCCAGGCTCTGAGCTACTCCTTGGTCAGCTCTGGGAGCAGAGGCAGCTTGCGTGGGGGAACCCGCGTACCTTCAGTGGCCGTATGGGTGGCTTCTGGGGTGCAAGGCAGAACTAGGGTGCCTGAGGCAGAGGGTCTGCTGGCGCCGGGGCCGGAAGGGAGTAAGAACACTGTCCTTGCTCTGATGGAGGCTCTCGCAGTGCCTCCGTGACCGCTGCTCCCGGCTCTGCGTGTGGGCCACAGACCCACAGGAGGTGCAAAGGGGCGCAGGTGCTAAGCTCCCCTGTCTGTGGGCCTCCGGGAGTGCTGGGGTGGGCCGCCGGGAGCCAGTTCTGCGAGGAGGGCCGCCATGGATGCAGGCTGGGCTGCGGCAGGTGCACCCAGGGCTGCAGGCACAGTGCTCGGGTCAGCATCTCTGTAGCGTGCGCCGTGCACAGTCCATGCGCCTTGGCCGCCCCCAGGAAGGGCTCCTCGGACGAGGGCGCCTGGTGAGCGTCTCCACAGGTGCGGAGGCCCCCTGCAGAGAGCAGCTGTGTGGCGCTGGGGGCCAGCGGTCTGCACACCAGCTTCTACAGAGGGCGTTCCCAAGGAAATGCTCGTGTGGCTGTGCGTTGCCACCACACTGTGACAGGATCTTCATAGCTACCTCACAAACTGCAACCCTGGCCCAGAGGCGAGGGCTGGGGCTGAGCAGGGCCCCCTACCACAGCCTGGCCCAGAGGCGAGGGCTGGGGCTGAGCGAGACCCCACCAGCCACAGCCTGGCCCAGAGGCGAAGGGTGGGGCTGAGCAGGACCCCCTACCATAGGCTGGCCCAGAGGCGAGGGGTGGGGCTGAGTGGGACCCCCTACCACAGCCTGGCCCAGAGGCGAGGGGTGGGGCTGAGCAGGACCCCCTACCATAGGCTGGCCCAGAGGCGAGGGCTGGGGCTGAGCAGGGCCCCCTACCACAGCCTGGCCCAGAGGCGAGGGCTGGGGCTGAGCGGGACCCCCTACCACAGCTCCCAGCCCCTGGCTCCTGAGGCCCAGTCGGGCCTCCAGTGAGTGGTGCCTTCAGTGGGTCGGCAGCATCTGGGGGCAGGAGAGGTGCCCGTTCCTGGCCCACAGGGTGATGGAGTCCCCTGGTGGGATAGGGCCCCCCAGGGGTGCGCAGGGTCAGTGCCGCCATCAGCGCCGCCGCCCAGCCAGCCCTGCCTTGCTGGTGTCTGCAGAGTCCTTCCTGAGGGAGGGACCTCCCCGTGCCGCTGCATCCCAGAGTTCTCACCGCTGGGTGCCGGGCTGGGCAAGTGCTCTTTCTGCGTCTGTCTCTGTCGTCTGTCGCCACAATCGTGGGATTTTCTCTTGCGCCACCCGCATGCGGTGGAGACGCGCGTGTCTGAACAGCCGCCGCCAGCCCACAGTGTGCACCCCCCCACACTGCCGCATCCGTCTGCTCCTGCCTGTCGAGGGTTCTGCATCTGTGGGCAGGGATGTGGATCCGCAGCGCTGGTCTCTGTGCTGTCTCTGTCTAGCGGGGCAGGGCAGCAGGACCGCGGGGCTGGGGACGGAAGTCGCAGCTCTCTGGGCCGTGGGGAGGAAACGGGCCCTCGGAGCTGCGACGCCTTCCCTCACCCGCGTTTACCAAGCTTAGCCCCTGACAGCTGCTGGAGAGTCCAGGAGGCAGCTGCACGCAGAGCGAGCTCTCCCAGACTCGGGGGGGGCGGGGGGAGAGGCCCTGTATCTAGAGCGAGCCCTCCCAGACTCGGGGGGGGGAGAGGCCCTGTATCTAGAGCCCTCCCAGACTCCGAGTGGGGGGGGGAGCCCTGTATCTAGAGCGAGCCCTCCCAGACTCCGAGTGGGGGGGAGCCCTGTATCTAGAGCGAACCCACCCAGACTCTGGCGGGGGGGGGAGCCCTGTATCTAGAGCCCTCTCAGACTCCGGGGTGGGGGGCCTGTATCTAGAGCCCTCCCAGACTCGGGGGGGGAGCTGTATCTAGAGCAAGTCCTCCCAGACTCCGGGCGGTGGGGGAGCCCTGTATCTAGAGCACTCTCAGACTCCGGGGGAGGGGGGGCCTGTATCTAGAGCCCTCTCAGACTCCCAGGGGGGCCCTGTATCTAGAGCCCTCTCAGACTCCAGGGGGGGCCCTGTATCTAGAGCGAGCCCTCTCAGACTCCGAGTGAGGTGGGGGGGCCTGTATCTAGAGCTCTCTCAGAGTCAGGGTGATGGGGGGAGCACTCTGTAGAACGAGCTCTCAGCAAAGGACTGGGGAGATGCTGCCGGCCCTGACCGGGTCCTGACCTTGGCCCTGACCTTGGCCCAGGCTTCCCCACCCACCCGGCAACCCAGTGCACAGCCGCGGGGCTGCCCGGATCGTGCTGACTAACAGCTGTGGTGGGGAGAGAACCTGTGTGGCCTGAGCTAGGAGAGTGGAAAGCGAAGGCAGGGACCCCTGGGACCAGGCATCAGGTTTGCTACTTGGGACGACCCCGGGAGATGCAGACGTGTCAGCGTGCGAGGATGCTGGAGCGAGCTGGAGCAGGCTACAACCCCAGGCCGCCCTCCCGTGGCCAGCCTGAGAGCCGGGCAGAGGGAGGGACAGAGACAGAGAGGGAGAGACAGAAAGGGGGACAGTGAGAGGAGACACAGAGAGAGAGCAGGACAGGTAGGGGAGAGGAGCGACGGGCAGGCACAGGCTCACAGAGCGGGCAGCACTGCCTCCGGGCGCTGGCTTTCCAGAGATGCAGGGGAGGGTCCCCGCAGGGAAGCGCTGGGGGCCGGTGTTCTCAGGCAGTGCTGTAAGGCACCGGGGTCTTCCGGGGACGCCCCTCGCTGCTGGGAGCCGCGCGGCGTGGCCGCATCTCGAGGCAGGGTCTGGCTGGGGCTGCTTCGCGCCGAGGACTTTCCCCGGGGTCTGCAGTGGCCCTGCAACCTCTCGGCAACCTCTCGGCACCGCTTGCTGCCCCCCCCCCGCCCCGTGCCTCCTGCCGAGGCCCAGACGCCACCACAGCCTGCACAGCCCACGCGCCTCCCTCGCTGGACTTAACCGCGCCTCGCCTTGGTCCTAACAGTCTCTGCGAGGCACCCCCGCCCTCGGCAGGGCCCCCGACAAGGGGTGGGGGCTGCCCACTCCGGCCCAAGGCCCTGAATCTTCTCCGGACGCTCCCTTGCAGATGGACTGCAGCCTGGTGGCGAGCCCCCGGTCACCTTCCTCCGCACGGAAGAGGGGCCGGACCCCACCTTCCCCAGCACCGTCCCCCTCATCCAGCAGTTGCTAAACGCCACGGAGCTCACGCAGGACCCCGCGGCCTACTCCCGGCTGGTGGCCGTGCTGGTCTACACCGCCGAGCGGGCCAAGTTCGCCACAGGGGTGGAGCGGCGGGACTGGACGGAGCTGTTCATTGACACCTTTAAGCTGGTGCACAGGGACATCGCGGGGGACCCCGAGACCGCCCTGGCGCTCTGCTGAGGCCGCGGGGCCGCCAGGAGGCGGGCGCCGGCCCTCGCCCTCTGGCAGAGCTTCCGAGGGCTGCCCGGGGGGCTTGACTGACAGGCGTTTACTCAGTCTGGAGGCCAAGGGTCTTTAGGGCCACGCTCCCTCCAGGGCCTTGGGGGAGCCCTCCCCCGCCCCTTCCAGCCCCTACTCGCGCCACAGTCTTAGCTCAAGGCCGCGTGGCTCCAGTCTCTGCCCAGCTTCCCACAGCTGCTTCTCTGGGTCCCCGAGGACACCAGCCTGGATTTAAGGCCACCCCAACCCAGGACACTCCCATCTGGGTCCGTGACCGAATCCCCCACCAGGTCCCTCTTTGCCACCTAAGGTGACCATCACAGGCTCCTGGGCCCCTCCGCGCAGCCCCACCCCCTGAGCTGTCACTCATTTGGGATGCAGGTGAGGGAGGAAGGTAAATCCCACTCCAGGACGGGGTGCCCCATTCCAGCTGCACCTCAGAGGTGGCTGAGCCCATGGGTGCCCACGGCCCAGAGGGCATGGTGCGGAGGTGACCCGTCCAGTGGCAGTGGACAGTCCACGCTGGGATCTGCAGTCCCAACACCAAGACGAACTTGCCAGAGCCGCCTGCCAGTGTCCTGGTCCGGTCGTCTGCCTCTCGCTGCCCAGCCAGAGGGTGTCTGGAGGTGCAGTCAGGGACCCTCGGGGGCCTCTTCCCCCTCTCCTGAAAGGGCACCCTCGCCTCGCAGACGGCACGCCCAGACACGGACATGTCCGTGGAGCGTGAGGGGTCGCGGCCTGTGGTCGCGCCCTGGGCTCCCGTCCGGGCGCCTCTCAGGCTCACGGTGACCATCCCTCCTGGGCGGGGTCTCCTTCCCACACCCACGGCACAGGCGCAGGCCAGGCTTCCTGCTGTGAGGGTTCAGGGAGGCGCTGAGCCCGTGAAGACCTCAAACGTGGCCTCTCGTGTGTCTCCAGCAGCCTCCCCGGGTTCACGCCGTGGACGCCCGGCTGCAGGCCACTGGTTCTGAGGGCCTGGGCGCCTCGGTCCCTGGGCGTGCGCCCTCCCAGCCGGCCCAGGGGTGCGGCCTCCCAGCACAAGCTACTCTTCTTTGGCATCAGAATAAGCTACCTTGTTGATAAGCTCATTAAAGACTCCCGTCTGCAGCGGACTCGCTCCGGGGCGTGCCGGGTGCTCCTTAAGCAGTCTCACGAAAGCTGGAAGCAGCCGCTGCTGCCGCCAGCCGGCCGGGCGAGCGCGGACTAACAGGTGCCTGCTGAGGCTGGGCCCCCGGCCAGGCACGACCCCGCTCCCGGGGGGTCCCGGGTGTCAGCGGGCCTCGGCTGCTGACCCCACCTGAGGGGCAGATGGAGGAGCCGGACACACATGGGGGATTGCCCTCCTCCCCTTTCCCATCTCAACAGCTGAGGTTCTGGGCAGGGCCACAGAGGGTGGGGCCCAGTCACCTGTCTGTAGCAGACGGATGGTCCGTGTCCCATAGGACACCTGCATGTGTAGTGGGCAGCCTGGCTAAGCCCGCACTCAGTCCTGCCCCCATGCTGTCAGCATGTCCAGGGCTGGTGACCACCCTTCTGCTGGGATCTAGTCACACCTGTGCCCATAGCGGGGACACAGGCTCCTGTCTGTCCAGGGGAGATGTGGGCTGGCCAAGTGAGGGGGTCGGGGCCAGGGGTCTTCATGGAGTCCCTCTGTCCCAACACCCTTGGGTGGTGGCCCTTTTGTCACTGGGAGGCCGATGCTTGAGCCAACAGAAGAGGCTTTCTGGATGCTTCCTGCCAAGATGCTTACTTAGCTGGAGGCCTTTGGCTGTGACAGGGCCAGCAGCCCCAGGTCTGGGAGGTTTCCGGGTGGGTTGACATGAGGCAGAGGGTCCTGAGGGCACGTCTGAGTGGTTGCCTGGTGAGGACCCCTGCTGCTGGGTTGCCGTGCTGGCCGCCCATCCCCGACGGGTCTGTGGGGGCCACAGAGGCGGTGCAGGGCGTGGCGGCTGGAGTCCTGGCCTGGCCCCCTTGCCCAGCCGGCGCCCCCTCACGTCTCCCCCCAGAGCTGTACGTGGCCCAGTGCACACAGCGGCCTGTGGACATCGTCTTCCTGCTGGATGGCTCTGAGCGGCTGGGCGAGCAGAACTTCCACAAGGCCCGGCGCTTCGTGGAGGAGGTGTCGCGGCGGCTGACGCTGGCTCGGGGAGACGACGACCCGCTCAATGCCCGCGTGGCCCTGCTACAGTACGGCAGCCAGCGCGAGCAGCAGGTGGCCTTCCCCCTGACCTCCAACCTCACGGTCATCCACGAGGCACTGGACAGCGCCAGCTACCTCAACTCGTTCTCGCACGTGGGAACGGGCATCGTGCACGCCATCAACAACATTGTGCAGAGCGCGCAGGGCGGGGCCCGCCGCCACGCCGAGCTGTCCTTCGTGTTCCTCACGGACGGCGTCACGGGCAACGACAGCCTGGAGGAGTCTGTGCACTCCATGCGCAAGCAGAACGTGGTCCCCACGGTGGTGGCCGTGGGCAGCGACGTGGACATGGACGTGCTCTCCAAGATCAGCCTGGGCGACAGGGCCGCCATCTTCCGCGAGAAGGACTATGACAGCCTGGCGCAGCCCAGCTTCTTCGACAGGTTCATCCGCTGGATCTGCTAGCAGCCCCACCTCCCATCCTCGGTGCTGAGCCCCCAGCAGCCCCGGCCCTGCCCGCCCCGCCTCCCATCCTCGGTGCTGAGCCCCCAGCAGCCCCGGCCCTGCCCGCCCCGCCTCCCGTCCACGGTGCTATGCAGACCGCAGCTCAGCCAGTCCAACACGGACTGCAGCAGACCTGAAGTCTGTCCGCAGGGAGGTCGGAGGGAGGACCTGCACCAAGGCCACCCGCCCACCGCTGGCTGCCCCGACCGCGGGATCCCTGGTCCCCGCTGAGCCCCTCCCCTCTGGCCTGGCCGGCCGCCCCCGCTGCCTTAGCCCTGTCCGCTCCTCCACCCTGCAGCCTACTGGCCCCGCAGCCAGGCCCGCACCAACCCGCCCTGGGCCCTGCCCCTCACGTCCCCTCCCGCTGGAGCTCACGAGAGCAGGCCTGAGAGACCCTGTGCCGCACACCCTCCTCGGTCCAATAAAGCCTTGAGCCCACCTCCTGCTGGCCAGTGCCCGGGTGTCTGTGCCCAGCGGGGCCCGTCCCGTGCGTCTCACCTGCACGGTCTCTTCCACAGACCCTGACAGTCACATCACACGGGGGCTGGTGGCCCCTGTGGCCCCTGCATGGTCCCCAGGTGTATGTACTGACGGCCTCCACCAGGGGCTCACCCAGGCTGTCGGCTTTGGCTGAAAACGATGTTCCTCCATCAGTGGACTCCGTCTGACCCCAGATCAGCCCCAGTCGCCTGCGTCACGGAACACCTACAGATGGATAAGCTGGGTGATGGGCACACAGAGCTCTCGCTGGGTGTGGGTTCTGCGTCCAGGTCCAAGAGCGCTCCGTGGCGAGCAACCCCGGGAGCCATGGGCTCACCCGGGGGGAGGCCCAGGCAGTGGAAACTAAGCACCGCAGGCCAGGGGCTAACAGCGGACGCAGCATCTCGCACTCTGGAAGTGGGGCGTCCGAGATCAAGGGGTCAGCATAGCCTTGGTCCCTCTGAAGGTGCTGGGGACGGTCTGTTCAGGGCCCACTCCAGCTCCTGGCAGGTTCCTGGCTGACAGCAGCCCCACGTCACTCTCCACGTGGCCTCTCCAGCGTGCATGTGTCTGCGCCCCGCATGGGGACCTGCACCTTAACTGACCTCCAAAGACCCTGTCCCCAGTAAGGTCGCGCGTCCTGAAGCTTGGGGACGACTCCCTGTGCAGCCTGCAGGTGCAGGGAGGGCTTCCATCGCTGCATCACCCTCCGCTCATCTCCCTCCTCACAAGGCCCCATGGGAGACGCCAGCCAGGAAGAAGGAAACTCGCCTCTCCCCTAACTCCTGCACGGGACCCGGCCTCCTCGTCAGGCGTAGCCCCAGGACCGGGACAAGGGTCCTCTGAAGGGAAAGGATGTTCTGTCTGAGGCGCCGGGCCCTGCGTGCGGAGCCTCTCACAGGGCTACAGCAGCGTCAGTCCCCGTGGGAAGGACTCCTGATGCAGATGGGGGAGGGGCTGCCTTCCCCAGCACAGTCAGTGATCTCAGCAGTGACCCAACACTTTCGTTATTATCAGTATTATTTTGTTTATTCCCAAGGCAGAGTTACGGAGAGAAAGAGAGAAAGAGATCTACCAGCCTTGGGTTCACTTCCCAGATGGCCACCAGAGCCAGGGCTGGGCCGGCCCAAGCCAGAAGCCCAGAACCCCGTCTGAGTCTCCCACATGGGTGGCAGGGTCCAAGCTCCTGGGCCATCCTCTGCTGCTTTCTCAGGTGCATTAGCAGGAGCTGGATGGGAAGTGGAGCAGCCGGGACTCCAGCCGGCTCTCCTACCAAATGCCGGCGTCCCAGGGGGCAGCTTCACCAGCTGTTCCACAATGCTGGGCCCAGTGATCCACCCCATCAAACACGAGCCCAAAAATCCCCTCGCCAAACCTTAGCACCCTCGGCAACAGCCCCAAAACAGCAACCTCTTAGCAACACCCCTCAGCAACACGTGCTAACCAACAAGCCAGCTAACGTCCCCTCGGCAACGTCCCTACAGCAGCTGGGTGCAGGGGACCGGGGCATCCTCAGCAACCCCCACACACAACGTGCCCTTCCCAGAGTGCATCACCGCTGTGTGTGCACCTGGGCACCTCACCAACGTCCTGGACAAATGACTCAAACCGAGGTGCTCTTACCAGCATCCCCTCACAAAGAATGCCCGCCCCAACACCCCTCACGAAGATTCCCCTCACCACATCTTCCCAGACTCCTCCCCTGTGTCATCTCACTAACGGTCCACTACGAAAACTGGCTCAGCGTGACCTCACCAGCATGACCTCACCAGCATTACGTCATAATATTACCTCACCAGCATGACCTCATGTTACCTCACAACATTCCTCACCAGCATGACCTCATGTTACCTCGTCAGCATTACATCATAATATTACCTCACCAGCATGACCTCACCATACCTCACAGCATGACCTCACCATACCTCACAACATTCCTCACCAGCATTACCTCATGTTACCTCGTCAGCATTACGTCATAATATTACCTCACCAGCATGACCTCATCATACTACCTCACCAGCATGACCTCATCAGCATGACCTCCTCAGCATTACATCATAGGCATTACCTCATAACATTACCTCACATTACCTCACAACACTCCTCACCAGCAGTGTTCTGTCACCTCCATACCACCGTGGGCAGCCCACAATGTCCTCAACAACACCCAGTCTCCAACACCCCGCACCCACGGTGCCTCAACAAGCCACATGCTCCAGTGCCCATGGCCAGACACCCCTCACCAACATGGCCCTTCAGCAAGTCTTCACCATGACTGCCTCAGATCAACACCCCACCCCCACCCAACCCTCCCCCACCGTCAGCCCTGCTGTCTCCCCCCATCTCCTCTTCACCAGCCCCTCCCCCTCTCCCCTCAGCCCCTCATCAACATGCTCAAGAGAAAGGGGTAGCCTGAGCCCTCAGCTCCTCCCAGAGCCCTCTCTGCCTGCCCACTCCCCACCTAGCGCCGGGCAGGCAGCACCCAGGCTCTCGCAGGCTACCCACACTGCCCTGCAGAGGCTTGAAACTGCGTCAGACCCAACTGATGCCCCAACAGAAAATTCCAGAGGAAACCAGGCTGGATAGGAGCTCAGTGGAAACGGGTCCGACCTCGGTGCAGGGGCTCTGGGATGAGGCCAACACGTGGAGCTCACCGAGGGCTGTACACCCTGTGCCCTGCACACCCGACACACACCTGCTCCGGCTTTGCTGCCACCCTGAGGGCTGCAGGAACCCCTGACGCCCCTGCCCCGAGCAGCTCCAGACCAAGGCTAACCTGGCCTGCAGTCTAGGTCCTGAGGAGCGGGCCGTAGGTGTCGCTCACGGCAGCAGCCCAGGTCCCCAGGCCTGTCAGGGAAGGAGGGTCTCGAGCCACCAGCCCAGCAGGCCTGGGCCCTGCCAGACCCGATGGCCCCCAACTCCCGGAGCCTGAGGGTCTGCAAGGGGCTCAATGTTCCCCTTCAAAACTGCTCTACACCCAGGAAGGGCCA